TTTTGTTAAGATTTTTGTCATGCTTACTTCTGAAGTTGTTTCGAGTCTTCTGCATCTGTGAATGAATTGATTGATGTTAAAGAGAGCAGATGGATCGTATACGCCAGGGAGGCTACTGCTGAGAATGACATGCACACCTAGACAAGGATTAGCTGTGGAGTCAATGATTGAGAATGAATGTTTCTATTTAGGCTGTGGTCCCACACGCCGGGGAGCGAGAGTGTAGACGACTGAGGCTTGCATACGTCACCGTTACTAGAACTGAGGTAGAATAAGTGACAAGTGATGGCAGTGGTAATTGGTACTGAATAGATAAAAGGGTGTGCGAAGAGTATCATGAGGTGCTGCTATGGTCATGCTGCTTCCTGCAAGAGTCATTCTAGCAAGTGGCGATTGTGTTGCAAGATGTCAAGAGGATGCACTTAACTGGAAGGTGTAGGTCGTCGTTGACGAGTGAGATTGTGCTGTGTGCATGCCTGTGGTGTGTTGGCTTTGTTGTTTGTTTTCCATTTCAGCTTTGTCCTTGCGGCCCAGGTTCTCGCACTGGCATCCAGGTCAACGTGTATAGGTCGTGATGGAAAAAAGAGGTGGATCCCTTTCTCGCCGGGGAGTGTCAATTTAGTTGAAGAATGAACGATCAATTCATGGTTGTTTGCTCAAAACCAACTCCATATTTTGACGGGAGTCACCGATACTGCAGTCATCGTTCCATCGTATGCTGTTCGTTGGAAGACGGGGAAGTACTATCAGAAGTATTATTGTGATTAATTGTTATGACATTTATTCTTAGACTTTGTGTATAATAACCTTATGGTTGGTTCCATATTGGTGCAAGAATAAAGGATTCTCGAGTCACCAATCTGTGTTCTGTTTTTTCGCGTTGGTTATTGCACATTGTTGCTGAAGGTCTTCTAAGAACAGCGTTAAGTCCAGTGTCGTTAGATCCGGACATTAACATACATCGTTATTGATAGTTTCTGATATGCTTATGTCGATCTAGGCGATAGCCGAGTCCTTTATTTATCTACTTCAAATTACTTGTCTGATAATAATTCGCACAACTTTTAAGACCATATTAATCACGAATCAAGAGAACACACATTGAACCAGGGCGGATATGTATTTAATTTATACCAACTAGTACATAATAATAACATAATAATATACGGAAGGATTCGAGAAAAGACTAAGTCAGTCAGCAGGCTTAATATCGATCCTATATCACTTAGCAGGCATTATTTGAAAAATCTGAAATTCGTATGCTGAATGTGGATTCCCATATCAGTTATTGTTAGTACCAACTCTCTTATGTTATTATCAGCTTGCAGGGGGCGCTAATGGGCATAATTTTACTGATACTACTGCGAAACTCTGCGCATCCTTCGATGTCCCGTGGAAACCTTCTCAGCTCTGAAACTTTCTGTCTGCATGCTTTATGAGTGTTTCTAACTAAAGAATGGTATATCTTGAGTAGATTGTAATGTCTCTTATGACATCGTGACTATTGGCCCGCCTGTGAGAAATTTACCCCATAAAGATAGCCTTGGATCACATACTTGAGCCGGGCATAATCAGACCTTCCAGCAACCCATAGCCTTCACCCTATCATAATGTGCACCCTACCATGCTTAGTTTAGAGGCTTTGTGATAACTGTCGTAGGCTTAAAGCTAAAATAGTGCAAGATCGCTCTCCAGTTTCTCAAAAGAATGACTTAAGTGCATCTCTCCTCTCTAAGCCCGACCTAACCTGTGCCTATCTTCGGATTTCACTTCATCTAAACGACATAACAAGGACAACACCAACCTTTTTCCAGAGTTGCATTCACGATTTCTTGCGTGGACTTAACTTCTCCTTTGCTTTTCTGGTTCACACTCTGAAGGTTCTTTCAGATGAGAATTTTAGTCATAGCTCCTCACGAAAGGTTTTCGCCAAAATATCAGAACATTCAGTAGCAGTCAGTCTAGCCAGGTGCCTGGTTAGCATCAACTCACTGACTTTACTGGGGGCATGTAGTCAATGAAAATAGCATTTGCTGTTTGCCTGAAAACGTACATACTGTTAAGGATCTTTCAGTGCCGAATTTCGTCGAACCTCTGTGTACATTTCTTGGTATGGTAATTTATTACCGGCATTAAATTCGTTTGTGTGCGCAGTGACAAAACCTACTAAAAGTAAGTTCAAAAGTGTCAACAATCTTGAAGATACTGAAGAATTTCAAGAAATGAATGTGATTATAGCAGACGCTACGAAATCGTGCACCAGAACGCCAAACTTTCTTTCAGGATATCTACTTTTGCTTCTGATGTGGTTACCAGATCCTTATTGCAGAAACGTATGGATGACATCTGTGCAACACCCTTGCTAAGACGATATCACGCCTCTCGTCGCAAAATCATGGCAATTTATTTTTCCACCTAACTGTCTCTTCGTACCACTAAAGGCAACAAGTTTACAGGCTTTACTAACAAAAAAACCTAGACTTGTGCCATTCTTACCACGAAAAATAGACACTGCCCGCATAAACTGCATAATTTGAACCACAAGTCAAATCGGATGTAATTAATGCCTCTAACGTGAGAAACCCTGCAGCGAACTCTTTGTCTCGAATTCGCATTAATGCGATGCCTAAAACTAATGACCTACAAAAACTGGCGGAATGTCACATTTCTGACAGTGTGGATAAACTTCAGCACCAAAAATCGTTGAGACTAGAGAGTCACTTGCAAGTTGAAAGAACACCATATTATAATGTGCACCCACAAAATCATTAAGAGCTACGGCTTCAGTCTTCAGTGCTCAGCTCAGACAAGTTAACCCTGATGTTTAAAACTGTTCGCGTAGTGCATGTAGTTCCAGAGTTTTGAACTACATAGACGGAACATCACTACCATTGGACCTTTCGTAACTCTTGACTCACATTTTGGTCTCTTTCATCTGAATAATTCTATACTGCTTCCACATTCCATTAATTACTCATATCTCCTTAAAAACATAGATAGTTCCACTTTCTATGGATGAGCTGTCGATATTTTGGTGCAACAACTGAAACCGCTCACTGAGTTTATATAGTAAGATTGGCTGCACAGTTAGATGCCCTTCTACTGTGATAGACCCCTGGTGAAGACAATTGGAATCGGATCCTACAGCAGAAACCTTTTTTAGGAAATACATGAACGTCATTATGATAAATGAATACGCATGAATATTCATGTAGTCTTGTAACAACAGAAGACAAGGGCCAGGCAGCAAATCGTTTATTTAGGAAATCAACAGATATTTATAGATTTTCATGTACATTATTATGGATTATTGTAAGCGAACAAACACCGTTTTCTGGTTGGTGGTTTCTCGCTGAACGTTAATCCTTCATCTCTTCGTGGCCGTTTATTGAAGTTCAGATTTTCTGTCTGCAAATTGTATCCGCCTACTCCAAGTCTGCTGTGATTGGTTGTTGAGTCAGTCTTTGTTCTTATTTTTCTCATGACCAATATTGGGGACGTAAACATTGACGTAAACTACTGTCTACCGATTTGGCTAGCAGCCAGCTCTCACCACAGTTTTACTTAAGTTTGCGAAAGCGTTTAACACCACTGAGCGTGACACTCATCTCGGTCACAAAACAGACCAAGTACCATTTGGTACCCTGTTTCTCTTATGGTTTACAGACTACTGGAACAGAAAGAAGTTCCGGGAATACGTTAGTTATTTCCGACCATATTGGAATAATTGGGCCCCTGAATTTTCACAAATTTCTAATCAGGGACAATTCGATATTTCCCATATTCATCAATAGCCTATCATGCCGTGGAAACTTTTAAGTTCCTCACACTAATGATACAAGGATTTGAAGGCCAACGAAAGGTTTGGTGGACTCACGCAGGTTGGAAGCAAAAATTGGGATACTGAAATAGTCATTTGAATGTCTTGCAGCATGATGAGACTCAAGGTTGGTTTACAACAGGAATACCGCAGAGGCTCATTTACTCGCTGTATGTTAGCAATCTGTTCTGTGCTGCTCCAGAGGGAGAATCACGTTTCTTTATAACAGAACGGCTTGATAAAAATGTGAATTATCCGGACAGGGGCACATTTGGTTTCGCATCGTAGACATTACAGCTTTACAACCTCCATAAAACCTACGTACCATCGTATCTTGAGGTGCGCAATTTCATCGCTCTACTGCTACTTAAAAAGGAAGCCGACCTCTCGAAAAGAGTGAGGGAGAAATGAACAAAACAGATTATGGGCCTTCATAGCGAAATATATGGTGACAAGTTGAGGAAACAAGGCCCTTTCGCACTGCGTCTTGGAGTGGAATAGTCAACAATTACAAGCCCTTTAATATTGTTCTAGAAGGTTAGTTTGTTACACTGATCGAAAGAACTCGAGCTCGTTTGCACTTCTCTTTTTTTGCTAGTTTCCAAGGTCACATTTTACCACAGTGTTTCCTTTGTTTTCGGCTTATTCTGTTTCATGTGTTCGCGTTATCAATTAATTTCCCCTAGTTTTTCCCATAAACACTCTTTAGCATTATTCAAGAAAAATTGTCGCAGACGACCAATATGGTATCTGTTATTAGATGGGGATAAGCAGTGCTTTACCAAGCTGTGGTTTTAATTTGGATCTACAAGCATGAGGTAATCGCCCCTATCTATAAGGGAGAACGTATTATCCTTCGAAATAATGGACCATCTATTTCACCTTCGCCATAGACAAAATGCTGGGAACAGTGACAAGGAAGGCTTACCTATCTGGAAGATAATAAGTCTCAGCCCGGAGCACGTCATGTTGTTTGCAACGGTTCCATTCCAATAAACCTGTATAGTGCAAGAAAATTCCGGTCAAATATAAAGATCAAGGAAAATCTATTAAAGGTCACAGAAATACAAATTCTTAGTAAAAAAGAAACACATAGGCTTTATGTTTTCTACCTTCAATATAAAAATTTGAATCTCTTTGTTTCAGCTTTAATGTTGTTATGTTATATCATCTGGATTACGTCCAATTCAGTCTCTCAAGGTTGTTTCTGTGGCGCCCAGTTCGTCATGTTGGATATAGTACGACTAAAAAGTGATGCAGAACAGTATGGGCAAGGCCACTTATTTACTTTCTGGGATGAGCTTAATGCTAAGCAGAAATCTGAACTTTTGGAAAATGTTTCCAGGCTAAATTTCGCTAACATCGACCGCATGTTAAAAGTGAGTTTGAATAAAAACCCAAAACTTCTTATTTAACTTTTTTTTTGCGTTAATGTGTAATACAAACTAGAGTGACTTTAAAAATTTTTTAAGTTCTCCTTATATGCAAAGTTAGTTATGTTTTCGTGGGATGTTACGCACTATGAAGTAAACATGCATGAATTCATGCATATATGCATGAACTGGTTCAAGAATATGTTCATTTGAACCAGTTTTTTGAGTATATTAAATTTATTCTCATTTTTCATGAGTCAAACTATTTTTTGTGTATTAAAAATTAAGAAATAAGTAATACTACCTCACCAGTTTGATATGGTGAGTGTATTATCTTGGAATTTTTCACTGTTCGTAAAAAATTTCACTTGTCCTTATTTAATTTCTTCATACCTTTGTCTTCTGGATTCAAAAATGGTTTCTGTTTATACGCATTCCATTCGTGTTGTCTGTGTTCCACTGTTGTTGAGGTGTTTGTGTTATTTATTTATTGTCCTCAACTTTCAATTGTGTTGTAATACTCATTATGCATCGTATTTAATCAAAGTTTCAACCGTATCTCTTTGGATTTGTACAGGGCACAGGTATCTCTGATTCAAAGAGCAGGTCTTTGTCTGCAGATTTTTTGTGGATCTGCAGGACCAGGCTGATAGATGGGATTTTGATGAGGCTACTGAGCTTGCGACAACATATATTGGATGAGTCAAGTTTTCCTGGAGGTCAATGATATAAATGTCACTTCGGTGGTGGTAGAGGCTATTGATAACCTTCGACTAAAAGCCACTGAAAACCAGTGTGTTTTCATAGCCTCATTCTGCGGAGCTCATACTAGGGAGAGAGAGCTTTTGCAACTTTAATTACAGTTAGAGGACTGATGTCTACATTCATTGAGGTTTTACGGTCTACTTCCCTAATAAGTTCAAATAGTTATGTCATGTTATCTATCGTTGTTTTATTTTCCATCTTTTTTTCACCACTCTAGGAAAAGTATCAAAAGTGAGAAACTAAAAGATATTAGAAATTTAAGTCACTTCTCAGGAAAAACGGCTGGAAAGTTGTGCAGAATACTTCAAAAGGCAGTTTGACTACTACCCAACCGTAGCTGAAGTTGGTCGGGGATGTTGGTCTATCAGCTTCAGCAAAAGTTACAAAAACTGTCTAACAGAAACCAGGAAAACCAGCTCAACCTGCTGGTTTGACTCCAGAAGTGTTATACGGTAGTAGTGGTGAATTATTAACCGCGATAAACTGGGTGTTCGCGTGTGTAAATCTGGTGTATTTCCACTAGATCGGTATGGGCCACTTGTCATCCCCGTCTTTGAGAAAGAGTTTTTTGATGAAATCTGGAGAATTAGATTTGTTTATATGATATTAGCCATAATAGACTGACTAAATCCTAGGACTGATACAGTCGGCTTGTTTGATATTTCTCCACTTCGGTCACTTTTCCGCTGGTCTGATATCTAACTACCTATCAAATAACGCATGGACTATCACTAATCCGTTCATACTGAGACGTGTTCTCTGAAAACAGAAGGTATATATTCAAATGTAGGAGATCGCATTCACATGTTCTCTTTAAATGGATCAACATAATAAGTGAAACTAAAATTATATTGACATGTTATGTACGTCGCTTAAGTCAACTAAATAGGTTTTGGAGCAGTTTCAATTGAAGTGATTAAGACACGTACTTGCTGAGTATTCCCCTTCTTGGCTAGTATTATGAACTGAAGTAGGATTAAATTGAGAGTGGTCGAATGAAGACAGCATAAATCTATGAAGTCATTTATTTATGGTGTGAGCCATGTTCGGATTTTCTTCTGGGGTCGCTTGGGTGGTAAAAATCAACGTTTGAAGACTCTTAGACGTATGGCTGAAAATCGTAGACAATAGCGTAGATTTACTTATTGTATCATCTAAGTTGTGAGTTTCATTCATTACTCTTTGTTTGTTTATCTTTTGCCATATATTCTTGCCAATTAAAGTGTTATTGTATTTTTGTACTTCGTATGCTTTTTGTAAGTTCGGCAACTTAAACTGATGCGTTTTTGTTCAAACTTTTCAATATTCAGACCCATGTTAGTATTTTCTATTTTTCTGACATAGTTAAGCCTGTCTGTGTTCAATTACACTTGGTGCTAGAGTTTAAATGTGAGTTAGTCTATGTGTAGGTTTTTTGGTGTTAATCTGTTCACTTAGTGAGTGGTGATAGTCTAAGTTTTTGAACATATTGCGCTAATGTTATAATTTCTTATTTTCAAAAGAGATTTATAGGACCCTGATTTTCTGTAAAACTATGCTGTTACTTAGTGATACTGCGTTTTCTTCCCAACTAACCCTGCTCATTTTTGAGATATACTCTCGCGTTTGTACATTAGTAAAAAAAGGTTGAACACTATTCAGACGCATTTTTCACTTTCTGTGCTTCCTGTATATAACTAGTTCTGTTGTTTTAGTGATTAACTAGTATGTAACATATCTATCTCTTTAACAGAATGCTAGTAATCCCTGTTCGACGAGCGCTGATGTATTTTCACCACCTGATCCAAAATCATGCGGATCCCTTCCAGAATTGCGCACCTCACAACCGTCTTTGTTAAAACAATATGCTGATTCTGGTAAGTTGCTGCGTTATTGGATTCACTGAGTATTTTTGTCAAGCTTTGCGGGCGGTCAGTGAAAATAAAGTAGCAGTTTTATTATTGGCTGGTGGTCAAGGAACTAGGCTAGGTGTTTCTTATCCTAAAGGATTATATAAACCTAATCTTCCCTCTGGTCGTTCATTATATCAAATTCAAGCTGAACGTCTTTGTCGTGTTTCTCATTTGTGTAAAGAAAAATTGGGGATAACTCCTTCAATAACTTGGTGAGTTATTATTATTCATTTGGTTGTAATATATGCTTGTGTTTAAATGGTCTTTACAAGGTTGGCTAGGCTAACAAGTTACTAACCAGAATATACAAGTCATATAGTTTTCCATCTGAAATAAAAAATTCGCTCGTAATGACATAATAATGTTTCGCATCAATGATAATGATAAACTAAATTTGTTGAAAAGTTTGAAAACATAAAGTCCCAGTAGTCGTTTGTTTAGCACTCCCAATTAGGTCAGCAAGGCGTATCTGCAACTTTGAAGAAACTCATGTCCCTTCTAAGATTCGAACCCGCGTCACCCAATGCTGCAGTCAGAGACGTTACCACTGATCTATTTGGGCTCAATTTGTTGAAAAGTTTGAAAACATAAAGTCCCAATAGCCGTTTGTTTAGCTGTCTGTCTGTCTGTTTTCAACATAGAACTCTGCACCGATCTGCAGCAGTTCAAGTCGCCACACTCCATGTACCACACAAAGCAAGAAAAGAAAGAGGAAGAAATGCAAAATAGAGATAGTAAACAGGGATATGAGACAAAATGAATAGTAATAACGAAGAACAATATAGTTTCATTGGGTATTATAAGTCACAAGGAGTGGATGCATCTGCGCCATCCACTGAGACGATTTTGAGCCATATCACCAATTGTTTCCAACCATTGGTTTTTACCGTCCCGGGGACCCCAACCAGTTAGGAAGTCTACACCTTCCTACGTGGCTTAGACTAACTGTTGTAGATTTCACTGACTGGTGCCATGTTTTGGTTTGACCGTCACTAGCTCTTTTCCAGCCTGACCCTATATCAGCTAAAATTGCTCGTCCGTCGAGGAAGGCGATGGCTAGGCTAGGCATGCGTAACACATGTCCTAACCATCTCAGTCGATGTAATTTCACAGTCTCGTCGATTGATTTCCCCTCCTTACCTAGCACTCGACGCCTAACCTCAATATTGCTCACCTTATTATGCCACTTCACGCGGGAGATAGAACGCAGACACCTATGGTCACCCCCAATTAGGTCCATTTATCAAGTAAACAGTAAGGGAGTAATACATTGTTTAGCATTTGAAACTAAAATAGTACAAAAACCAACTTTTACGTCTGTATGCTGGTCGGGTAGTAAATGTGTTGTAGTTCACCGACTTTATCGTTTAACTTACAATCAGTGGGTCAGAAGTTCGAATCTCACTCCACCTATCTCAGCTTCGTCAATTGAGCTCACAGCATGTACCTGATAACCAAATCCTATTAAATTTAAGTAATACATGTACAGAATAAGACATAAAAACACTTCTTTACTGTGTTGATTGTTAGTGTTGTTAGATACCAGTGATTTGGTAACTGTTGTGTCTTCTGGTAATTTGAATGATTCATTTAGTTTCATGATTTCGGTTGCCACCTTTGGTTGCTTTCAGAAGTATCTGTGTGGAACTTGTCTGTCTCTGTGTGTCTGTCTGTTTTCGACATAGAACTTTGCACATATGTGCGGCAGTTCAAGTCGCCACACTCCATGTAGCACACAAAGGAAGAGGAGAAAGTAGGAGAAATGCATATTAGAGACAGTAAACAGAGGTATGAGACAAAGGAGTAGTAATAACGAAGAACAAAAGTTTCATTGGAAATCATAAGTCACAAGGAGTGGATGCATCTGCGCCACTGAGAACGATTTTGAGCCATGTCACCAATTGTTTCCAACCATTGGTTTTTACCGTCCCGAGGACCCCAACCAGGAAGTACTTGTGATTCTATACTGTCGTATATCAGATATTTATTTAAAATAAATTAAAATTATAATCTTATTTTACTTGTATTCAGGTATATTATGACTTCCGAACATACCAAAGAAATGACTATACAATTCTTTGAATCGTTTGATTATTTTGGATGTAATCGTGATGACATTGTCTTCTTTGAACAGTTCACTTTGCCAGCCTTTTCAGTAGATGGGAAAATTTTACTGGAAACTAAATCCAGGCTGGCTTTTTCTCCAGGTAAGACATCTCTATTGATATGGGTGATTTAACTCTTTCATAAGCTAAGTAGTTGTATGGTGTCTTTCACATGTCTATAAAATTATGGTGAATCACGGAATATCGTTTATCATCCTTTGGAGAGCGCAAATTTAGTAAGTTTCCAAATGACACGTATGATCAAGAAGCTTCTGTCTATGCTTTTCGTTAAGTCATTTCATTAAAGATAAGCCTATTTCGAAAGGTAGTCTAGACATGCCGTAACACTTCTCTATTACTTGATTGCAGTGTGTATTTTGTCTATTCAAAGAAATCTTCTAAAATGAGGCTTCACTGGCTGAGTGGGACCCTGATGTACTATAGACTGGATGAAAACTTGTACAACTTACAGTAAATTACAATTAACAGTGTTCTCTCAGCTGGTTGGTTTAGTTGCGGAGCTTTCGTCGTCCTTCTGGACAACATCTTCAGCGCAACTTTTAGTATAAAGTGAACCATCTTTACATATGTATTGATCATTTTCTATTGACTTGGATTTTAGACTTTCTGGTCACATGATCTACTTTTTATTAGTTGGTATATTTGGTCTATGTTAGCAACGTTTGCTAATTGCATATTCGTTTGAGTGCCAGGCTTCTAGGAATTCCCTGGCACTTTTGGTGTTTCCTCTGTCTAAAATTTCGACATTATCCTAATCAAACTGATGTCCATAATTATCTATATGCATTGATATGAAGGAATATATATCATGTCTTTTCACAGCTGATTTGTGTTCCTGGATTCTGATTCAAAGGGGACGCCCACTTTGGCCGATGTAATGCCTGTTACACTTCATATAATTTATTTTGTAAATGGTATTAATTTTATCTCCTTTTTCTGTTGGATCTTCCGGTTTGCACAATATCGAATGAAGTGATTGGACCGGCTGGCTTGTGTGCTATATTTATATCAAACGGTTTCAATATTCCAGCTGTTATTTCAGAGATATTTTTCTTGTGTTCTTTGATGATGGTTCCTTATTGGTGTTGTGATTCGATTTTAATCACTTTTTGATGTAATTTTTGCGGATATCCATCCTTTTTGAAGACTGTTAGTAAGTATTTTTCTTCCATTCTTTTCAACTCTGGAGTGTTACAGTGTGTTTGAATTCTTTTAAACAATGTCTGCACACAGTTTCTTTTGTGAGTAATTGGGTTATTGCTAGTATAGTTGATTATTTGATCTGTGTGCATTGATTTTCTATATACTTATGTTTCTAAATTTCCTGTGTTGGTTCTCCTGATTAAGACATCTAAAAATGGGATTTTGTTATCTAATTCTTCCACTCTTGTGAATTTGATGTCTCCGTTTAAAGCCTGCCAAGTGCTCAGAACTAATTAGCCTTTGTCTGAAGAAGTAATATTTCTACAGATTCGCTCTAAAGCTTAGGTGACTAATTTCTAACTAACTGATAAACACATTTCTGCTTTTTCTTTTCATCAGATGGAAATGGCGGTTTGTACAGAGCTCTTAATGATCGTGGCATTCTGAATGATATGAAATCAAGGGGAATAGAATATGTACAAATTTACTGTGTTGATAATATTCTGGTGAAAGTTCCAGATCTACACTTTATAGGTTTTTGTATTGAAAATAGTGCAGATTGTGGAGCTGAAGTTGTTCAAAAAGTGGATCCAGAGGAAGCGATTGGAGTTGTTGGTGTTGTGAATGGTCGGTATCAAGTGAGTTAATAAATATATTCGGCTTATGGACTTTGGGGTTGTGCACCTATTTTATTTAAATTATTGATTTAAGTTCATTCACTAGCCTATACAAGGTAGATTACTTTCCCTGTCTACTGTTTGGCATTCTCTGCATCTTTAGGATGAGAGTTTAATGACCTGGTAGAATGTCGTTGCAAGATATCCAGTTAACATATTTCAATGCTAAAATAGTGCGTCGGTGGCACAGCGGTAGAATGCTCGCTAACCACGCATGTGGTTCAGGGTTCGATCGCCGGCCACAGACGCACTCCTAAACCTCGCTAAACCAGTAATAAGACTGGTAAAGAGGCAAGGTTGGGCATGAGGCTAGCAACCCTATCCCGTAAAAATACAACACCACTGTTACGGTAACTTCAAGATGGCTCTAGCTTGAAGCCCTATGTTCCACTAGGCACGTAAAGGAAAATAAAAAAAATAAAAAAATGCTAAAATATAATCGAAGTGTGACAATCTATTATCTTTCCACTAGGCTGCTGTGACTTACTTGTCATTCCACTACTTATCGAAAAAGTGATGGCCTCCAGTATGACAGATTTTCAAAATAGCACTGTACTTATGATCATCGCTATTTTCAACAACTTTCAAAATTGACACATGCGAAGAATTTTGACTGTCCTTAAATCTTCTGAAAAGTAATTATTTAAATACAGGATTTCATCATGAGCTGACATCGGTTAGAGAACCATTGGAAAACCTGAGAGTACTGGGCAGCTGTTTCATCCTAGTTTGGGACTCTTCATCAGTACGCACCCAATGTCAACTCATGGTGAAATCCTGTAACCAATCAAATCCCTAAAAACAAACACTTGAATATCGATGAGATGCTCACTAGCGACTTGCCCTATTTAGGTAGGTAGTTACATGGGATTCTAGTGAGAAGTCGTGACCAGTAGGGTGCAGCAGGCTGGGTGTGAGGACGAATACTCGCCGAAGACATTGGCTAGTGGTCGCGCTATGTCGTGAATTGGCATAAGTTAGAATTCATGGGATGGCCATTGTATCGGGTCCCAGTTGCTTAATGGTCTACGAGTTCGCCTTGTAACCAGAAGGTCCTGGATGCGAACCTTGGCGGTGGGTGTGTACTGATGAAGAGTCCCAAACTAGGACGGACGAAACAGCTGTCAAGTACTCCCTACTGGTTTTCCAATGGTTCTCTAACCAATGTCAGCTCATGATGAAATCCTGTAACCAATCAATGAAATCCCTACAAACCAACACTTGAATTATTTAATTTTTTTTTACCTCATATTGGATATTTATGATGAATCTGCTGAAAACTCTGCACTCAGATTTATATATCTTGGATGGTTCGCTAACTAATAATACCTGGAACCTTGGTGATTATTGGTGTTATTTAGAAATTACGAAAAGCAGCACTCAACAGCTAATCCAATTAGTTATTCAAGTCAAAACTGACTCGTTGTAGAACTGGAGGGTATGCTGAAAGTTAGTCATATATCATAGTCTCACCTTTTCTTAGTGAATACTCATTAACAGTAGGAGAGATTTCGGCATAAGCAACACAAAGCAATATATATATATATATATGTAGCTGTTGAGAAACAACTTTGGAAAACTACTTTTCGTGCGGTATAATGTCCTAAAACTGGATTTGTAATTTCGTATCAGAATTCATTTTTTCACCTCTGGTTTTATTTTCATGTAGGTTTGATTTCACGAATAGAAGCATGTAAACTGACTATTAAATGGACGATGTATTTTAAGAACTTCGATTGGGCTTTCATCAACTGACTTATTTCAAGTAGTTTTCGTTTACTTCATTTTGATGAATAGCTCGAGTTGGTAAACTTTTCTTAATTCCACAGGAATGGTATTTAAAGTTGAAACATTGATCTCTGCAATGCTGATTACGCTCACTTAAAATTTGAAGTGCTATTTTAATCGTTTCGCTAGTCTAGTTTCAGCACCGATTTACTAGCCATCTTCCTGCTTTGAATGAACATAATAACTATTTAATTCATGAGCAATCCCCATCCAGACATTATCATTGTTCCCTTGGGTTCCTAATGGAACATAGAGCTTCAACTGCACGTCTCCACTTGCTTCTGTCTTCTGCTGTACTTTTCACCTGCATCCATGTTAGTGCATACTGTTTCAGCTCCTCTTCACACGATCTCCTCCATGTCACCCTTGGACGTCCCACTCACTGCTTCTTTTTTGGGTTCCACTCGAGGGCCTGACGCGCGTTGTCACCCAACGGCCTCCTCAGCGAGTGTCCAATCCATCTCCACTTTCTCCTGCATATTTGTTGAGAGATTGGTTCCTGTTTTGTTTGTTCCCATAGCTTCTTGTTTGTGATTCTTTCTGGCCATCTGATCTTCAGTATGGAGCGAAGACAGTTGTTGATAAAGGTCTGCCTGCAACCTGTTGAAAATATTCTTGGTGATCCGCCAAGTTTCTGATCCATCCGTATAGAAGAACTGACTTGACGTTTGTATTGAAAATCCGAATTTTGTTGTTGATGCAGGCTGAGTGACGAAGATTTCCAGATTGGTTTCAGGTTGATGAATGTGTTTCTCGCCTTCCCGATTCTCGATTTGACATCTTCGTCTGTTCCTCTTGTAGTTGAGACAATGCTGCCTAGATAAGTGAATGAAGTAACCTCTTTCAAATCCCACACGTTAATCGTGATTCGCACTTCATCCAGACATTAGTGAAAACAAAACGCGTAGTTCAACGAAGAGTCTCGTTTCGCCAGCGAATTCATTCACTTAGCTCTACAATCGCAATTATGTATACTTATTGTTGGATGTGTGTGTGTACGTACGTTAGGTTTGTCCGATGAGAATAAAAGTAAGTTAGGGTTATTACTGTCAAGACATTTCGAAAATGTGATGAGTAATCAAATTGTAACCAGGGTTGGGGGTGGAGGTGGGGTGAAGATTGGCAAGAGGGTAGTGGTGATGCGTTGTCAAAAAACATAGTTATTGATGTTAATGAACACATAAAAGAAGTTGAATAGGCGTAGTACAGTTACGTTATAAGATGAATAGTTTAATGAGTGAGTTGTGGTTAGGATGCACATAGAAACAAATGTAAAGAATGGAATTGTGCAAGAGTTCTAAAATTACAAATGTTATAAGGAGTTAGAAACAAAAAAAACAAGCACACAAATATCAAGTCAGTAGAAGTCAACACAGTTGTTACCATGATAGTAGGAGTGGTTGGATGATTTTCTTTTGTATGCATAATTCTGCTTTTTCCACCTGAATGGCTAAGGCTTCAGCAGTACAAAGGAGACGAAAGCGTATTGCCTTTGGTAGGTTGTGCTTCACCTTGTATATCACTTTAAAGGAGGTGTTTGTTGAGATGTAATGACCAGTGTTGACGAGATGTTCGATGATCAAACTGCTTATATAGCCACTATTACTTTTTTGTAGCCATGTGGGATAGTGTTCTTGAACCCTTTTGGACAGGATATGCGTCGAACGACCAGTGTACCTGGCTCCACAGCAACAGGTGAACTGATATATGCACATAAAAGTGGCCAGATGAGTAAGTATACTACGCTTGTACAGACAGAAGGCAATAGTCAGGCAACAGATCATTTATTAAGGAAATCAACGCATATTTATATATTTGCATGTACATTACTATGGATATTTAAGTTAACAAACACAGTCTTCCGATTGGTTGTTTCTCACGTAAAGTTAATCTTTCATCTATTTGTGACTGTTTCTTGAATGTCAAATCCTCTATATGTTAACTGCATCCGCCTACGCAAAGTATGCTGTGGTCGGTTTTGAATCAATCTTTGTTCACATTTTCTCACGACAAATTTTGGGAACGTAAATATTGACGTAAATTACTGTCTACCAATTTGGCTAGTAGACAGCTCTCACCACACGCTTATCCAACTTCTTTTATGTGGTGATTAACATTAATAACTATGTTTAATTGGTGGATGGTGACTAGCAGTGGAATCCACGATGCGCATTTCGTCCTATTTGGGACTCGTCATCCGGAAGTGCCTGCATTCCCCAGTGAGTGATGCTGATTTTCCCACCGAGGCTCGAACCCAGTGCCCACAGTTTCGAACGCCAAAGCATTATCCACTAGACCACTTGGGCCACGAGAGCCACCTCTTGTGCAACAGGTCATATTAATTATTTAATTGAATTTTAGATTTTTTTCATCGATTGATTGGACCAAAGTGCAAGCACATCCAGATGACGAGTCCCAAATAGGATGAAATGCGCATCCTGGATTCCACTGCTAGTCAACATCCACCAATTAAATTTTAATTACATGCCCAGACATCGTCGAAGCATCTACACAAGAAGCCTACATGTCGACCTGAGACCGAGCACTTCGGTGCAATCAATCGACGGGAAAATCTAAAATTCAATTAAATAATTATGTTTGTTTGTTTTTTGACAACGCATCACCACTACCCTCTTACCAATCTTCACCCCACCTCCACCCCCAACCCTGGTTACAATTTGATTACTCATCACATTTTCGAAATATCTTGATAATAATAACCCTAACTTACTTTTATTCTTATCGGACAAACCTAACGTACACACACACACCCAAAAATAAATATATATAATTGCGATTGTAGAGCTAAGTGAATGAATTCGCTGGCGAAACGAGACTCTTCGTTAAACTGCGTGTTTGGTTTACATTAGTAACTATTTCACTACTTATGCCTGTCTGTTGTACATTGAGTTACTTTGACTTTAAAAGAAATTTGAATAAGACATTTAAAAGACAAATTTCGCGAGATGATGATATCATTTCGTAGTTTCTTTACAACCGCTTTGCAACTAACACGGTTAACAATAATAAAATAAAGTTCATGACAATTACTCAGTTAAATAAAAAAACAAAAGTACATACTAATGACCAATCATATTTAAATAGGTCATGTAGTCCATGGTAGGCGAAGACTGAAGTCTATTGTTTTTTGTACACACAGTTTAGGCTGTATGTGATTAATCCAAAGTGCTTCCATCACCTTCAGTAACCAACCTTGAATTAGAGTTATGTGAAATAATTGTGAAAAAGTCATTAATATTGATTTTGTGACCTGACATTAATAAGTGTTTTGCAATGGATGATGCTGGATTTCTATTCAGATTAATCGCGTTGGGATTTTCTATATGATTTAGTAGCCATTTTGGAACATGTTCTTTTCGACGACATTGGAACATTCTGTTGGTTCTACCTATATAAGTGTCCCTGCAGCTGCAGGTGAACTTGTAGATACAGTAAGTAGAGTCCATAGAATTTCGTCCTTTAATCGGTGGTACAGGGATCGAAAATGTTCGGCAAGTGAGAAAAAGAGATGAGGCGTAGAATGTGCGTTTGATGGCTGATAGAAGTCTTTGAGCTATCAACTGCATAGTTTGGTCACACTTCAATGGTAGGTTAATAAAGATAGCTTTCTTTGGTACAGAAGCTGTCTATTCTAGATGTGGTCTTTCTTTACTGTGATAAGTGATAAAGTTCTCCAGATAACCATTAGCTAATAAAACTGAATGTTCAAGTGTTGGTTTGTAGGGATTTGATTGGTTACAGGATTTTCATCATGAGCTGACATTGGTTAGAGAACCATTGGAAAACCTGGGAGTACTGGGCAATTGTTTCGTCCTAGTTTGGGACTCTTCAGCAGTACGCACCCACAGGGATTCGAACCCAGGACCTTCTGGTTATAAGGCGAGCTCGTATACCATTAAGTCACAGAAAACTGAATGTATATGTCGAAACTCATCCATCAATGTGTCACTCGTGCATATATTTCGGACCCTTGAGAACAAACATTTCACTAGGGGACGTTTATACTGGATAGGAACAAAACTGGTAAAATGAAGATATTGTACACTCCATGTCTGTTTACGAAAAATAGATCGTTGAATCGTTCCATCATCTCTCCTCTGGTCATTGTAATATCAAAGGGACTAATTGTTTTAATTTAAAAGAAATGTTTTTTTTCTCACTGAGTTGTTTTTGTTTTCTAAAATTTCAACATTAGGTTTTGGAATATAGTGAAATAACTCCTGAAATGGCATCATTACGCGTAGATCAATGTAAACAGCAAAATGACCTATGCCATTCAAGCACAACAAATAATGGCAAAAACGTATCACATGCAAGTGGTGATAGTCGTTTAGTCTATAGTCATGGTAATATTTGTGTACATTTCATGACAAGAGCATTTTTGGAACGTGTTTGTCAGGACGATATTCAAATGAAGATGAAATATCATCGTGCTCAAAAGAAAGTCAATTGTATAGATTTACAAACTGGCGAACCAATAGTGCCTCAAAAACCAAATGCATTGAAGTTTGAAAAATTCGCTTTCGATATTTTCACATTTGCTAAGTAAGTAAAATGTATTAGTTTTATATAGTTGGTTTGTAAGGGTTAGTTTTGTTTTTACGAGTTGATCACACGGATTAATATCAGTTAGAGAACCATTGAAAACCAGCACCGGAGTACTGGACAGCCAGCGGTTTCATCCTAGTTTGGGAATCATTAGCAGTAAGCACCCACTGGGGTTCGAATCCAGGACGTTCCAGTTACAAGGCAAGCTCGTAGACCATTCAGCCACTGGGACCCGATTGAATGACCAGCCCATGAACTCTAACTTGTTGCAATTCGTGATTTAGATTTCTAGTTCGTGATTTAGCTTGACGTCAACCAATGTCGTCCGTGGGACATCCATCCTCACACTTGACCGGATATATATATATATATGAAGTTCTTTGCGCCGATATTGTTTTTACGAGTTCCATTTCGTAAACATCAATAGCTATTTTGTAGTTGTGCAAAACAAGTGTAAACGGGTCTGCGACCGCTTAAGTTTTTTCCTAAGAATAACCCTATGTTGAGTATATTTCTACACGTTAACTCTGATTTTAATTCTTGATACATATCAGGTATATTTCAGAATTAAGATTTTTTTCTTGTTGAATACTTTCACTCTCTTAAAGACGATTTTTCATTTGGGAAGTTCCACGAAATGAACAATTTTCTCCGATTAAAAATGGCCCAGGCGCACTAAAGGATTGTCCAAAAACAGCTCGCAATGATCTATTAAATTATCATACTCAACTGGCAAAAAGTGCTGGTGCTATACTGATAAATGACAGTTACGCTGTATCCAATGGAAATGGACATCAGGATGGTGTTTATGATAAAGCCTTGATTGAAATTTCACCTTTGATTACTTATGATGGTGAAGTGAGTTTCTTTTATCCAGTACCGTTGTTGGTAGTCATATAAACACCAATATTTCTATTCAAGTATTGGTTTGTAGGGCTTTGGTTGATTAGTTACAGGATTTCATCATGAGCGGACATTGGTTAGAGAACCATTGGAAAACCAGCTGGGAGTACTGGACAGCTGTTTCGTCCTAGTTTCAGTAGCACGCGTTTAGAACCCTACTTTTGGATCGAAACCAGGATCTTTTGGTTATGAAATGGATGGAATTCAGTGATTCATTATAACCAGGAGGTCCTGGGTTCGAGTCCCGGTGGGTGCGTACCGATGAAGAGTCCCAAACTAGGGTGAAACGTCTGTCCAGTACTCCCAGCTTTTCCAGTGGTTCTCTAACCAATGTTAGCTCATGATGAAATCCTGTAACCAACCAATATTTCTGTTCATTTGATGATAAGTTAATAAGTTATCATTACAGAAAGCGTATTTATTCTAATGTTAAGTAACATTGCTTCCTATAGCACACAAAAATATAGTATTAATAACCATATGACGTTCTAAATGCATTCCTTCTTCGAAATTATAAAGATTTTGTGTCTTGGTTGAGTGTTTTTTTTATGTGGTTATGTTCTCTGAACCGGGTAATTTAATTGCAAAGCCTCCCTTGTCCTTCTAGACATCTTCAGTGCTTATTACAATGTGAAATGAGGTTTTTGGAATTCTGTGTCTGTCTGTCTGTCTGGATTCAACATAGAACTTGGCACCGAAGTGCAGCAGTTCGAGTTGCCACGTTCCAAATAGCACACAAAGGTAGACAAGAAGATGAGGGAAGAGAATCAATAGAGTTTTGACAAGTGTAAGAGTGAAACAGAATGAGTAATGGTAGAAAGGAATATGGAAGATTACAGAGACTGAATACATCTGCGTAAGCCATTGACAACGATTTTGTGCCATGTCACCTATTGTTTCCAGTCATTGATTCTTAGAGTCCCGAGGGCCCCAACCCGGAAGTCTGCATCTCCCTACCTGACTCAGTTTAACTGTCAAGGATTTCATGGATTGATGGCATGTTTTGTTTGGCCACCACTTACTGTTTTCCAACCTGCACCTATATCAGCTAGTAATGCCCGTCGGGGAGGCGATGGTTAGGCATGTGCAGCGCGTGACCTAGCCATCTCAATCTATGTAACTATATAGCCTCGTCGATTGACTTTCCCTCTTTGCCCAACACTCTACGCCTGACGTCAACATTACTTACCTTATTATACCACCTAAAGTGAGAAAGAGATCGTAGACATCTATGATCAAAAACAGTCAATCTTTTCATGTCTTCAACTCGTATTGGCCATGTTTCATAGCCATAGAGAAGGACGGAGCGAACTGCTAAGCAGTACACACGTCCCTTGGTTGATAGTCGGATGTCACGCCTACGCCAGAGATGGTGTAAGTTAGCGAAAGCAGCTCAAGCTCTTTGGATCCGTGCTGAGATTTCGTCGCCAATCAGTGGAATTCTGTGTGGGCACAACTGATTGCTTATGAACACATGGTTTGTTACCATACACGCCGTATCACTTTTAAAAAATACATACGACCATGTCAGTCACTGTTGCTTACATATCTTGACAAGTATTCACAGATGCCGAAATCGCTGACTTGCCTGGAAAAGGATTTTGTTAGCATATATAAGTTAATCATTTCAAACACTTTACCATGGATTTGAATTGACTTTGTGCTTTTAGTTATATGGCTTTCATTGTACTCTTCTCACAGTAAGTTGAAATTATCTAGTTGCTAACAATATGTAACTTACACGATTGTATCTGAATTACATCAAGTCTTTGGTATGTAAATTTATTTTTTTAAAATTATTTTTATTCTCTTCCCTTGTTATCAGTTAGAGAACCATTGAAAACCAGCACCGGGGTACTGAACATGTGCTGTTTCATCCTAGTTTGGGAATCATCGGCAGTACGCACCCACTGGGTTCGAATCCCTTACAAACCAAACTATAGAAAATCAATCTGATGCTCGCTAGTGACTTGCTACAGGATGGAGTTTCCTGGAGTTCTAGTGAGAAGTCGTGACCAGTGAGGTCCAATTAGATGTCACGTGTGTGGATGGATGTCCCACCAACGACAATGGTTGGAGTCGCGCTAAATCACGAATTGGTAGAAGTTAGAATTCATGAGTCATTGAATCGGGTCCCAGTGGCTGAATGGTATGCGAGCCAGCTTGCCTTGTAACCGGAAGGTCCTGGGTTCGAACCCTGGCGGTGGGTACTTACTGCCGATGATTCCCAAACCAGGATGAAACAGCTGTCCAGTACCCCGGTGCTGGTTTTCAATGGTTCTCTAAATGATATCAATCCGTGATCAACTCGTAAAAACAAAACTAACCCTTACAAACCAAACTATAGAAAACTATTCCCTTGTGTTCCCTGTGGAACACAGGGCTTCAAATTTGAGCTTTGAAGTTCCAGTAGTAGTGGTTTTATTTTTACAGGGCCGGGGTTGCTAGCCTCACGCCCAACATTCCCTGTTCACCGGACTTACTACCGGCTAAGTGAGGTAATCGAACCCCTGACCACGTGTGGCGTCGTTGACGAGCATTCTACCGACGCGACGCACACTATAAATTTATACTGAATAGTTATTTTGTGTATCTTATCTTTCCAGTAACGACATAGCTTCGTCTTCAGTAGTAGTTGGTCATCTTTTAGTCGCTAGTGATGAATCTGTTTCGCCAGTAAATTTCTCAGTGTATTCATTGTTCTGACTAACACCTAAGTCATTCTGGTCAGTAGTTCATCACCACGGCGCTATGACACTTCTAGATTCAGACCATTAGATTTGGCTGCTCTATTTGATGATCTCGTCGAGTTTTGCTTCTCAGTGTGAAGAGGAAAATGCTCATGTTCACAGTCAGAGTTCTCCCATGTGAAGTGGTATAATAGGGTGAGCAATATTGAGGTTAGGCATCGGTCGAGTGCTAGGTAAAGAGGGGAAATCAATCTACGAGGCTGTAAAGTTGCATCGACTGAGATGGTTAGGACATGTGTTACGCATACACCACTAGCCATCACCTTCCTCGACAGACGGGCAATGTTAGCTGACACAGGATCAAGTTGGGAAAGAGCCAGTGGTGGTCTTACCAAAACATAGCTTCATCAGTCAATGAAATCCACAACAGTTAGTTTAAGTCACGTAGGAAGATGTAGATTTCCTGGTTGGGGTCCTCGGGACGGTAAACACCAATGGCTGGAGACAATCGGTGATATGGCTCAAAATCGTTTTCAATGGCTGGCACAGATGCATCTACTCCTTGTGACTTATAATACCCAGTGAAAATATATTGTTCTTCGTTATTACTATTCCTTTTGTCTCATATCCCTGTTTACTGTCTCTATTTTGCATTTCTTCTACTTTCTTCTGTTGCTTTGTGTGCTACATGGAGTGTGGCGACTTGAACTGGTACACTTCGGTGCAACGTTCTATGTTGAAAACAGACAGACAGAGTTCTAATGATTGAAGCAATTAGAATTTAGCTGCTTTTATAACAATCCGTGTTGTAATCAATATTTTGTGTAAATACCTTTAAGCTTGTTATAATTGTTTGAACTAATTTGTTTACATTGATAATTCTCCACATACAATTCACCTACTCGTTTACTTTGAATTATATTATCTATCCTTAATGCTTAAATTGAACTGATATCAATATATACCACCGCTTACCAGTTATTTGGTGCAATCTTTGTCGAAGAGACGAAGCTTCGCGATTAACACAGCTCAGAGAACGCTTTAATTGTAAATCGATCATATACTGAAGGAATGAGTAAAATTCAGAAGAAACAGTTTAAGTGAAATCTCCCATATTTTATATTTGTCATTCTAAATTAGAAGAAAAGATAGATAATTCAATTTAACCTCTTATATGGTTGTGAGACTTGGTGTGTCTATGGTACAGTGGTTAGTATTCTCGCCGACCATGCACATAGTCCGGGGTTCGATCCCTGGTCGACGCACACCTGATATCAATTGGTCGGCCTGCTAAATTTGGGCTACCAATATCACATGCTGAAAATTCCATACATATACCAAAAATACTGTATGGTTTCAAGCTATAATCAAAAAAAGGATTTCCAATAGGCTACTGCAGATTTTTGTCAACAGCTGCCTCCCCCTCACACTGAAGTGTAGACGCCCTGAAAAGATCAACATCAAGGAACTCTGGAAGGGAACTAACGACTGTTGAGTGATGTAGCGTGACAAGTTATTTAGTGAAAGCCTTACGGGAAACGACAATTTCGGCATTGGTCCGAAGTTGACACGGAGGGGATCCTATGAGAAGGGAATGAAAACTTATGGGGTAATCAATAGAGCTAGGTGAAGTCGACTACAGAGAAGAGGATGAAAATGGAAATGTGTTATACTGAAACCCTATGTTCCCCTTGGAATCAAGCGGGAGTAATAATAATTATCAGTGAAGTGAATAACCTGATCCCTGTGAACTTATAAACTATTTGTCTGGATTTAGTTGTAGGTGTTTATAATCATTAGAAAAGTGAACGAAGGAATTCATTGTTGGATTTCTGAAAGTCTGCAGTCAAGTGGGTGGTAGCTTGATTATTACTATTATTGTTTCCTTGAATTCCCAGAGGAACATAGGGCTTCAGCCGTGCGTCTCCATTGCGTTCGGTTCTCTGCTAGAGTTTTCACTTGGCTCCAAGTCTGCCCACACGCTTTCATCTCCTCTTCACATGACCTCCTCCAAGTCACCCTCGCACTGACGACCAACTCGCCGCTTCCCTTTCGGGTTCTAATCGAGCGATGGCTTGTCTAGTGATGTCACTTGATGGTTTCCTCAGAGTATGACCAGCCAATCCATCTCCATTTCCTCCTGCCTATTTGTTTGACAATCTGTTCCTGCTGGGTTGGTTTGCTCCCAGAGATCTCTGTTGCTGATCTTTTCCGTCTGGCCATTTGATGTTGAGTATTGAGCGAAGACAACTGTTAATGAAGATAGCATGATTGCTTCTTTCTAATAGTATGAGAAGTTTAATTCAATCTGTACACATGAATTTTGTATACAAAACCACTCGCTCTCCTCTAATACCAAATCAGTCACACTTATTAAACTGAAGCGTGATTTGCTGAATTCAATCAAATAAAACTGGATCAATAACATCCACTAAAAATTTAAGCGCTGCTTATACACAACCTCTTCCTATTGTTAACAGTAAAGCTGTACAAAAATTTAGTTCATTTGTGTACTTCTTTATTTTTTAAAATTTTTTTTGCTACTTTGTTCCAGAATTTATCCTGCCTAAAATCTGTTGAAATTCGTGGCCTTAATCGATTGGAAATAGACGAAGAGACAGGAAAGCCAATTCTACTTTCTTCTACAGTTTGAATAATAAAAGTCATTAAGTCCTACACACACACACACACACACAGTCGAATTGTATTCATCAGAAAGATTTAATCAATGTGAAAGATTCTTAGAAATCAAAGTCTTTCTTGATGGCTTCTATGTGTTCTTTGTTGTTGTTGTTGTTTTTTTTACACTTCACAGGTAATATGGACAGTCAGTTTCTGATTAACTGACTGCCATTTTGTATCAGCCTGGATAAGACTTCTACACTACTGCTTCTTCTATTGAAATAATCATTCCATTTTGCTCTATATTTTTTTATTCGAATGACTCTTTAGAAGTCGTCTTCTTCAATAATCAATCAACCAGTGGTCAAGTTACCCTTCTTCTATCTGTATGGATAAGTTGACTTTGAATGTTCACTTTCTTCTTTGCATTACCCTTGGTCTTATCGTTTTTCCATATCTCTGTTGAAATTACATATATATATATATGAAACCAGTGATCATTAGGCTTGATTCCACTTTATTGTTTTTTTTATATACTACGAATGAATCTTAATTATACTTTAGACATTAAATGTTTTTTCAAACTAATTTCCTCCTTCCTTTTTTACAATGATTTATTTGTTCAGTGGTATCATTATAAGTTTTTTACGGTAATTTAATTATCACTCTTTCGGCTATAATTACTATTATTATTATTATTGTTATTGTTTCTATGATTGTTATATCAAATGATACTTTTTTTAATATTTTATTTTTGTAAAATGAAAATATTATTATTATGATGATAATGATATGAATAAGTTTCAATAGTTGTCTATTTCCACTAGAGATTCATGCTGACAGTAAGTTGCATATCAGTGTCTGTAAGTATGGTGTGTACTTTGCGCCGTCTAAGTGCAAAGTACTGTTACAAGATTGGCAGGAGCCTGTATACCTGCACTCACTCTTGCGGGTGAACCGCTTGATAAGTTGTTGATAAGTTTGTGTATCATCTGGGTAGTTGTGTGAGTGCTGGCGGAGGAGGGGTGACGGATGAGATTTCCAACCGTATAATGAAGGCTAGGGTGGCATACATCAACTTGAGCCACCTCTGGCGCTGCGCCGTCGTGACGTTAGCCTGGCTGTCAAAGGTCGGATATACAATGCTTCGGTGTGGGCTGTCTTGCTCTACGCCTGTGAAACCTGACCTATCCGAGTTGGCTGAGGATGTGCGGCGGCTCTGCGTGTTCGATTATCGCTGTCTCCGCAGGATTGCTTGCGTTCGATGGAATCATCGCGTGAGTAATTCTGAGGTTCGGCGGCGTGTGTTTCAACACAGTGGAGATCACCATTCATTGAGTGTCGTCATCTGTAAACATCGGCTCCTGTGGCTTGGACATGTGCTGCGAATGTCATCCCAGCGATTTCCGTACAGGTCTCTGTTCGCTGGCCAGCCCTGGGACGGGATGGAAAAGGCGGAGGGGTGGTCAGTCCATGACGTGGCGTCGTGGGATGAAGGATGTTTGTGCTAGATTAGCATCAGTTGGTGCGTCACGACTCCCTGGTTGGGGTCCACGAGATAGCTCGAATCGATGGCTCGAAACGTTATCGGATATGGCCAAGAATCGCAGTCATCAATGGCGAACGTGTTGCAATTTCCTTCTTTCTTCCCTTCCCGATGATAGTTGACGAATACTGTTTGAACTTGTTAAATATGACTGTTTTCCTTCCAGATGAAGTTCTTTACCCGTTCTCTACTTATATTTTTTACATTTGATCTATGTTGTTTTATTATTATTGTGTGGCGCATCTTTCTTGGTGCCATATTGTACCAAGTTTTTTTCTTCTGCGTTTAAATAAATAAGTTGCATATCACATATTTATTACAAGGTGTTTATTCGTAATTGAGGTGCAAGTTTGGCATATATATATGGTAACTATAAAATGAGTTTTTACAGTTATTGCTATTTTCGTTGTGGGGCTAGTGGATGTGTGTTTGTTTGAATCCAAGTGTTCTGGATTCTAGTTTCAGTGGGACTACTAACCACTGGCAGGGGGGGGGTTCCGAATAGGATGAAGGAAGCGTTCTGGATTCTGTCATCAAGCAAATACCGTTTTTTTCCACCATCGGACTTGAAACAAATCAAATTCCTACAAACCACCTCGTGAAAATTAATCCGATGTTCACCAATGAATACAGGTTACAGGATGAAGTTGCCTGGGGTTCTGGTGAAAAGTCGTGACCAGTGGAGGGTCATCAGGTTGGATGTGTGAGGACACGTACTTGCTGGTGGTGACATTGGCTGGTGGCCTAGCTAAAATCACAGATTGATAGAAGTTAAAATTCATGGGCCATTGGATTTCGACCCCCAAATTGGCTGAGTGGTTAACGAGCTTGGCCATCCTCGTAACTTCAACGTCCTCGCCTCTATCCTTGGTGGTGGCGATCGTGGGTACGTACGTACTTCGGATGAGTCAGTCCCAAACTTGGGCGAAACAGCTCTGCAGTACTCCGTGCTGGTTTTCAACGGTTCTCTACCTGACATTAATATGTGATCAAACTTGAAAAACGAATCATATCCCTACAAACTAATTCTTAAAAATATCATATTACTGTTACTGTGTGCATATAATTGATTAACTGGCTTTCAAACCCTAAATATTTCCTTTATCTCTAGGGCAACTTACTTAATACAGCTTCTGAAGAGGTGATCAGTACTTTTTTTTTTACATATTTTTCAGTTATTTCCTTATATTGATTTCTATTGTCCTTATTAGCTTTTCTCAATTGTATTCCACGTTGGCAAACAAAGCAACTATTGTTTTCTGCTGTTGCCATTGTTTCTCAAGGAAATACACATACAAGTCTATTTTTTAAACAACTTACGCTTTACTTTTTGCATGCCCGTTGATTAATTGGTAATTAGTCATTTTGTTCTTATGTTTTATGTTTTTGTTCAATTGGAAAATGTGACCACTTTTGACAGGTCAGAAGTGAACAGCCTGCTTACAAAACTAAGGGAGATTTGAGCTTTTGGATGGCTAGTGCCTCGGCTATGCCCAGATGTCTTAATTTTACTCTCTTTGATAGGTTTGATCGAATCTTGTATATTATTTTGAAGGATTTTTCGAATGGCGCTGAATGTCCTGAATTGACCAGATGTTCTGTCACTGAACTATATACAAGTTTTCGTTCTCCTTTTACTAGCCAGGTTGGATAGTGTTCATGAGCGCGTTTTTCAAGTTGGCGCATGGTACGGCCGATGTACTCAGCTCCGCACGAGCAAGTAAACTGGTATTTGCACGTTGAAGTCATTGACGAAGAACTGAGTAATCTCCGAGGAACCTTGATGGAAAAACGGTTTTCCGCCTATGTTCATAGACAAGAATCTCAAATCAAAGAAGACTTCCGAAAAAGTCCAATCCGTCTCGAAGAAGATACTTCTGCTTAATCTAGAATTCAAAGGTGACATCGAAGCAGAAATCCTTCGTAAACGCCTCTGCAAATCTCTAAGGAAAACATACTTTACCGCAAGCCTACGACTGACGTTTTCCTGCAAGAAACTGTTCAGCCAGAACGCGAAAGACAAGCTGTCGCATTGGGCCACTTCAGTGTGCATATACCAGTTTACTTGCTCGTGCGGAGCTGAGCACATCGGCTGTACCATGCACCAACTTGGAAAACGCGCTCGTGAACACTATCCAGCCTGGCTAGTAAAAGGATAACGAAAACGTGCATATAGTTCAGGGACAGAACATCTGGTTAATTCAGGACATTCAGCGCCATTCGAAAAATCCTTCAAAATAATATACAAGATTCGATCAAACCTATCGAAGGGAGTAAAACTGTGTATACAAATTTACAGATATCTGCGGCAGCTGTTACATTGGGAGAACAGAAAGAAGGACAAACCTCCGATTTTCTGAACATATACCAAAAAGTCTACATCTCAATGGGACAAACGCTTACATTAGTGCCATTGCTAGGCATCTTGATAAGGGTCATGAGGTGGACATCACAAAATTATCGATTCTCCTCAAGTTTGCCGAAGCAGTCTATATCAAACACATGAAACCCTATTTATGTTTTCAGAAAGAAGTAGTTATCCGTCTTTGCTTGCCTTTGTAAGTGGATGCCTTTATTCTCTCTTTCATTTGATTATGTAATCTTTAACACTGAAAATTCCATTCTATATGATTATTATTATTGTTTGGAATAAAGTGATTACTATTATTAGTATTACAAATGTACGCATATATTAATTTTTTGTGTAAACTTGAACTGTCTGAGTAAGTATGTTAAAATTGTTTCTGTACATAAACTTAATAATATCTTTAGGCTGTAAGCAGCTGATGAGAAGTCAACGAAATAAATGATGCTTTATTCGAATGTATCAACCCAAATATCTAAACTATTTAAACAGACTGACTTCCATACATTGGACGAATCAAATCAGATAATAAGACGATTTCATATATAATTTAACGTTGCAAAACAGAATTGAGATTTAGAAGGACAAGTGAACAATTCAAAGTGAGAATAATAATAGTAATAGTAACAATTGACGTAATAAAGGAAGAGTACACAAACTGAATAAACAGAACGAAAAACAGGTAGAGCAAGAATATGATTGGCGATTACTACTTTCTCTCTGTCTGGATTCAACATAGAACTTGGCACCGAAGTGCAGCAGTTCGAGTTGCCACGTTCCAAATAGCACACAAACGTAGACAAGAAGATGAGGGAAGAGAATCAATAGAGTTTTGACAAGTATAAGAGTGAAACAGAGTGAGTAATGGTAGAAAGGAATATGAAAGATTACACAAGAGACTGAATACATCTGCGTAAGCCATTGACAACGATTTTGAGCCATGTCACCTATTGTCTCCAGCCATTGATTCTTAGAGTCCCGAGGGCCCCAACCCGGAAGTCTGCATCTCCCTACCTGACTCAGTTTAAGTGTCAGGGATTTCATGGATTGATGGATGCCATGTTTTTGTTTGGCCACCACTTACTCTTTTCCAACCTGCACCTATATCAGCTAGTAATGCCCGTCGGGGAAGGCGATGGTTAGGTATGCATGGGCAGCACGTGACCTAGCCATCTCAATCTATGTAACTTTATATTATTTTATTTTTTATATTTTGTTTACAGCTTGATTCCACACCGTATTTTCAGTACAAGTATGGAATTTTCAGCATGGATATCGGTAGCCCAAATTTTGCAGACCGACCGTAGATATCGGTTATGCGTCGGTAGGGGATCGAACCCCGGACCATGTGCATGGTCGGCGAGAGTCCTAACCACTGTGCCACCGACGCCTCTTCGATTGATTTTCCCTCTTTGCCCAACACTCTACGCTTAACCTAACGTCGACATTACTTACCTTATTATGCCACCTAACGTGAGAAAGAGATCGTAGACATATATGATCAAAAGCAGTCAACCTTTTCATGTCTTCAACTCGTCTTGGCCATGTTTCAGAGCGATAGAGAAGGACGGAGTGAACTGCTGAGCAGTACACACGTCCCTTGGTTGATAGCCGGATGTCACGCCTGCGCCAGAGACGGTGTAAGTTATCGAAAGCAGCTCGAGCTTTTTGGATCCGTGCTGAGATTTCGTCGCCAATCAATCCGTTGGTGCTGATACAACTTCCCAAATAGGTGAAGTGGTCAACATGTTCTATCACTTCACTCCCTATCACTAAGCTAGGAGTTGACGTAGTCCAGTTTTGTAGCAGCATCTTACATTTTACAGGGGCAAATCGCATGCCAAACATACGAAGATTGCTGCTCAAGGTGTTCAGACGAC